TATTGGTTTATTGAATAAAAATTAGAATAACCAATAGAATAAATTTTCTATTGGTTCTATTGGTTTTATTAAAAGTTCTATTAAGTTGGCAATAAAACATTCTATTGGCATCAATAAAGCAATAGAATCAATAGAATAAGATCTATTGCTCTATTCATGAATAGAACAATTGCCTTTTTTAGAAAACTTAAAAAACCTGTTTTTATAAATAAATAGTTTTTGTATTACAAATATAATTTAAGTTCGCTCAACATCTTTACTATGAAACAACATTTTGGTGGCAGAGCACCTCACAGACTTACACCATATGTAGAAGTTTTACAAACTCGTGTAAATAAAGTTAACAAAGCTGCAGTTTGTAAAGCTTGTATAGACAAATTAGGAAGAGAAATAGCACTTGAAAGATCTATTTTTACTAATACAAAAGCTTGCACTAAAGCACATTTTAAAAAATGTCAAAGTTTTTTTGAAAAATATAATGAAGAAGAAAGAGCTGAAATTCTTCATGGGTCAGATAATGAATACCAAGAAATTAATACAATTTCATCTGCAAATTCAAGTACAAGTTTATCTACAAGTTCAAGTTTTATTTCTACTTCTTCTGAACCATCTACTGGAACCACTAAAACACATCCTACACGATACAAAAAATCACGGCCATCAAAAGATTTAATGAATAATTATCTTACTCGAGATTTAAACCCAGCTGAATATATAGTTTTTGAGCGACATATACTAAAGTCTACAATTAGTAGTGGATTTGCATTTAGATGGACTGAAGATCCTGAAATTGTTGCACTTTTTAAGTTTTTAAATCCAAATTTAAAATTGCCTGGCCGCCGTGCTCTTAGTGGACGTATACTCACATTATATAGTGAAGAATTGCAACGGCAACATATTGTAGAAGCTAAAAAGCATGAAATTGGCAATACTCTTATATTCGATGGTTGGAAAAATGCTCATTTTCAAGAAATTTTAGGAAGTATTTTAGTTACTAGCAAAGGAAAAGTTTTAGTATGGGGAGCAGAAGATATTTCAGTAAAAGGTGGCAAAACAAATGATGTTATAGAAATAATTAAAAATTTTTTTACACGAGCTGAAATGAATGGTATTAAAATTATCGCCATTGTTACAGATAGTGCTTCTGCATATGCTGCAGCAAGGTAAATATAATTAAAAATTACATTAATAAATACAGTTAATTTAAAAATATATATAAATAATTTTTAATTTTTATTTAGACGTCGAATGCGATTAGAATATACTGATCGAGTTTTTCTTCCGTGTTTCGCACACCAGGCAAATCTTTGTGTAGCCGATATTTTCAAATCATCATCCAAGTATAAAGATGCATCAACAAAAGCCGTTAGTGTTGTTGCATATTTTACTGATAGTAGACATTCTCATTGGATTGGTAGATTGCGTGACGAACAAAAAAAATTATATGGAAAATACTATTGTCTTGTAAGACCTGTAAATACTCGTTGGAATAGTTACTATTTGTGCTTTTCCTCATTAATTCGTAATAAGAGAGCCTTAAAAGTATGTATATTCTATATTTTTTAACTTTATTTATAATTTTACTAATATTAAAAAATAATTAAATAAATAAATAGGCACTTTATTTACAATATGAAGATTTGCCGGAAAATATTGCAAGATTTTTAGATGACAATAACTGGTGGGAAATTATAGAAGAACTTAAATCACATTTGCTTCCATTTATGGCAACATTGAATCATCTTCAACGTGATGCTGCACGATTATCAGATGTTCTTCATTCTTTTGCATATTTTATGCAATTATATAAAAATAAGTCAGATAGCTTTAGTAAAAATATGATTCAGC